TCCTCGAGAGCCTGACGAAGCTGATCTTCGGTATATTGAGGCATTATATATAGAAGAAGACATGTGCAAAAGATGAGCCCATTTGGACGCGAATTGAAAATGTTGTGATAAAAGGAGGTTGGGGGTGGGCATTGGGTTGTGGTGGATTTTCGCGTTTTTGTGGGTGCCAGAAACAGGGGGGTGCCAGGAAGTGGGTATGTTGACTTATTGTCGTAAGTTATGGCACGCAGCAACAGGCACACGGAGTATAGTAAAGCGGCTTAATCTATGAAAGTGGAAATGGACAAAAAAAAAGGTCTACATACGAGTTGCGAGTGACATACAAGTGCTATACCGTAGCACGTGGCGGGCAATTCGTGGGTTGCAGTTCTGATCCCTGTTACGTGATAGGTATTGATAGAGTTTGGGGATAAGCTTATCAGAGGTCTCTTAATGCATTCAATACTTAAGTTAACATGGCCATCCAAAATATCACCGGAAGATGTCATGCTGAGAAGAAAGCGTACAAAGCCCACCAGGTCACTCAATAGCCCACAGACTTTGCCTCAGGGCCTCGTTCTCGGCGTCAAAGCGGCTCGGCCGGGCCTTCACGTCTGGTCAAGCAGGGATGGGGGATTTTGGTACCCGAAAGACGTTGAGCCAGGGCCAATGGTATGACAAAGGGCCACCTCCGGATGGATCTGCACTCGACTGAGAGCTGGATCAGGCTTCAGACGAGGACTTTACCTCGATTGGGGTGGCAGGGAACAGAAGAAAAGCAGTAGAATAGCAGCATTTTCAAAAACACCACAAATAAGTACTGTACCAATCAGAGCCTTTCTGTTGGGGTGATTGGTGCTCAAGAAGATCATCTGGTCAAGCCTGATGAGGATGTGGATGTCGATGGACGTGAGCATTTGTTCTTTCTGGCTTGAGGAGCGCTGTTGCGTTGCCGTCCCCTAAAGGCCCCACAACAGTCCCGGCAGGCCTGCCGGCACATGTGCTAACGCTGTACTACAAGAATGCAAGAATGACCGCCGGCCGTAGTAGCCAGAAATGGAGTTGACACCTTGGAGAAACGGGCAAAGGACACGGTGCGAAAGTCTGGCACTAGCGCCGCTTCAATTGGGCGAATTCGCCCATGTGTTTCTGGCTGTCGGGACTTCTCGAGTGGCGGTACTGACCAGTGTGGGTCATTTTCAGCACGTTACGTCTGTGCAGAAGTTTGTCTTGGGCAAACCTTTGAATTCCCTGCCGTTATGCTTCCTCTCTTAGGTCTGCGGTCGACACAACCCGTGCGTCTCGAAGACAGTACAGCCGCCATCGAGATCAGTTTCTAGCTTTTGACCTTCAATTTAGGCTTCGAATAAACAATTGTATCGTCAACCACGAGCGCCTCGCTATTGGATATGCAAGTCATTTGCAAGCCGCCACAGCCCGATCAACACCTGACTGCCAGCGCGCGTTGATGACCACTTACTCCGCGCACTGTCACGTCTCTGCACTGGTCCATTGCTAAAAAAGGCTGCACCACAAAGAGGTTGTGAAGTCCGAAGTTCGCCGCCCACATCGATCGAGGGACAGCATTCCGGCGAAGCCATTGGAAAATCGTCAACGGAACAAGTGCGTAAACCATTGCCCGGCATCGTCGGATTATCACTTACTGCATCGCTATGTGGCACTGTCAAGACAGTGTCAGCGGCATCATAACGATGGGGGTGGAAGCCCATCTAGAATGGGCGGCGAGTTGAGGCAACGAGTCGTAGGACGACCGAGGTGCTGGGTCTGGACCGATGAACGGCTGGGGAACATAGAACGTCCGAGGGACCCGTGCTTTACTTGGGTGCGGCCAGGTCTGGCGGGAGCATCCAGCAAGCGGCGAAACTGTTTTTAGCGCTCATGGACATAACGGACAATTAAGATGTCTGGTTTGCAACCCAGGTTGGCCCACGTATGTCACGTCAAAACAGGCGGGCTCATGCATTTTCCCATCAACAGATTCCCCGAAAGATGAGCATTAACCCGATTTCGACTGAGATGGCATCAGTTCGCGCAGTGATACTGTAGTGGAAAGGCGAACGGGAAAATGGCTTCACAGTCTCGCCCAGCATCAGCAGGTTTTAGATCGTACGCTACGTGTGTATACAATATACTGTATGTACTGTATGGTTGCTGAAGCGGAGGCAAGCATACATACACTCGGCACAAGAGAGATACAATAGAAAATTAACAACGTTCTGGGTATAGATGCGAAGCCTTCCTAAGACCTATCCGCTTCGACGCCTATGGGCAGTGGCCTTTAGACGGTTTCTATTACCCTTCTAGCTAATAGTAGAGGCCTACTATAACCGACCCCTCGATAAGCTAGAGATTATTAAAGGGTATTTAATTACTTTATAAGAAGCCCGTATTAATATAGTAATTAATAACGACGCGGTTAAGGCTACTAAAGTAATCTAGTCCGGGTAGGTAGTAAGGATAGTAACGGAAAGTTCGGTAAGAAACGGAGTTATGGGCTATAGAACGGCTATAATATTACTTATATTATTTAAAAAGGGTTATAGCGTTATTAAGGCCTTGTGTATAGTTAGCTTAAGAATAGAGCTAAACCTGTATATAGTAGAGCTAGCGGCGTTAGTAAAAGTAGTTAAGTTTTTATTTTAAAAAGTTAAGTACTGGGCTATTTACGTATTTATTAGTAATAAAGCGGCTATGTTAGTAATGCGTAACCCGTAGTAGTAGTTAGGCTAACGAGAGGTCTGATAACTATACTCTAGTATATAAGCTCTATAAAAATAAAGTAATAAGTTTACGCTCTTTTAGCTCTTATTAATTATAGAGTTAGACCTAGCGTAAGTAGCTAAAGTAATAGTAAAGGATAGTACGAGACTAAATAAGATACTAAAAAAATAACTAACTAGAGCTTATTTAATAGTACTTAGAATCGCTTTATAAAGCGTATAATAAAAATACGGAGCTTTATTTAATAACGTAAGAGTATATTTAAAAAAGATTGATATTATATTATTAAGAAAGTATATGCGCGAGCTATATAATAAACTATTTTAAAAAGAAGTTAGTATTTTAGCGTAACTACGTATTAGTATAATAAGACTAAATTAGTACTTATACTAAATTAAAATAACTACCTCGGCGTAATGCGCCTATAGGTATATAGTAGAATCGGTAGAGTATTTTCTTTTTTATTATATATAGTAAATAGTATAACGAACTTAAATACTTTAATAAACGGAGTTATAAAGAAGAAACTTATTGTACTTTTTTAGAGAAAAGAGCGCGTCTAACTTTAATAATTAGTTATTATATATAAACGTTATTAAAGAGATGATTAAGTTTGTTATAAGTACGTAGAGGCTAGATATATAGATTAACTAGTAATAAGATTATATACTACTTATATTAATATACTAACTGACGATAACCCCTATATACCCTCGTATTATTAATAGTAAGACTAGCTTTGGCTGCTAATAATAGGACGCTAAATACTTTAAGAGATATCCTTAAGATAGCCTATTACTAATATTATGAGTAACCGTAGTATTAGTATATAAAACTAAAGATAATATATATAGAGACGGATAAGGCTTATATAGGCTTCTGGGTAGTAAGGATATAAACGAAAGTAGAGAGTATATAGATAATTATACGAGCCCTAAATAGCTTAGCCGGGGCGTAATAAACTATGTATGTATGTATGTTGTAACGACGCGTCGGGCAGGGGCAGTGCAGCCTTACTCTAATAACCTGGTGCAGCTGGACGGCGTGCGGACGGCAGGAGGCCATCGGCAGGGCAGATCCCGTAGGGCTGTGGTGCGCGGCGCGCGCGTGGGGAGGCAGGGCTTAGCAGACCCCCGCGTAGAGGACTTAGGGAGTACGCGGCGGCACAAACGGGACTACAGGCGTCGCGCTACTACGGGGACTTGAATGCGACGGCTACGCCTAAGATCGCCCTTGGTGTTTGTTCATCGTTATTGCCCAAGCAAAGCTGGCAGTCGGGCACCTTGTTTCCGAAGGGACCCGACCCTCTCCAGCCTGCTAATCTCCGCGAGTCTGCGTGGGAAACGGCAACTCTTATCAGATTGACATCGCTGTTGCGCGAGGGCGCTGACAATCTTTGCTGGGTATCGGTGAGTCCACCATCAAATCTTCCGTATTCAGACACGTCGTCGAAAACCTGCTGAGTTTAGCGTAAGGCAGCTTGGGGTGTGGCACGAACGACACGCACAGCACCCAACGGCGGACACGAGGCTGGCTTGAACACTGGACCCCTCACTCAGGTGGCTGCACTGCGGTGGGCAACGCAGCAAGGCGGCGCTCCGGACACTGCCTCGTTTGCTGGAAAGAAACGTTCCATTCGCGGTGCCGAAGGCGAGGTCGAGGTCTGGTGTGGGCGGTGTTCCATTAGCGCCAGAGAGAACAGGCAGAGATACTTATGGTCTGCTTCGGTCGACGTATGTACTGCGGACTCTGCGTATGTGCTTTTAGCAGCAAGGGTCTATCGGGACGTCTCTGATCAACCCCAGGACCAGACAGCGGTCCTCGGGGCTTGCAGCTCGGAGCCTGTCGTGTGAGCCAATATGCCCCTGGGAGTGAGCAGATCGGTTTCCTATGTACATAGCGTATGAGTGCTATAGGATGCTGCGAGTGTGGACTAATGAGCCGGGGGGGGGGGGGGGGGGGGTGGGCCCCCCCAAGCGGGCCTGAAAACGGGGGAACCACAGGGCCCGGGCCGACCCAGGGGGGTGGCCCCCCCCCGCGCCCCCCCCGGGGGGGGGGGGGGTGGGGGGGGGGGGAGGGGGGGGGGGGGGGGGGGGGGGGGAGCTTGACGCCGCCAAGCAGGACTGATAACTGCGGAACCACATGGACCATGGTCGACTCAGATGGGATGACCCACACCGCGCTGACTAGCCGCCTGTGCAGGCGGACTGGCCATGACGGGGAACAGGCGTAGCCGCACCCGGCCTCTAGGTACCCCTCCGTGCCCCGTGCACATCTCACTCGATTATCAAGCTCCACGATAAGTAGCACGTCCTTCGATACTATATATCATAAGTAAATAATATATATTTTATACGGAGCTAGGTAAGTACGTAGAAGTCGTTATTCCCCTTTTAAATAAGTAACGCTGTCTAACTTAATAATCCATTCCTTATTAACTTTTTTAAAAAAGATCGTCCGTATATTCGTTATTATAGGTATTTTAATAAAAGCTAGGCCTAATTAACCCGTATATATAACTAGGTTTATAATCTTTTTTTTTAAGAATCCGTATAAGGACCCGGATCGGATTATATAAGAATTCCTTCGATAGTACTTTTAGTTCTAGCTAATATAACGAGGATAAATTAAAATATATTTAAATATAATACGACTTAGTATTTTAAAAATAATATATAAAAAGAGCCGGATAGCCTTAGTCCTAGTCCTTTAACGTTTACGAAGGGTATAGTAAATAATAAGATATAGAGTCTCTATAATAAATAGTATAAAAAGAGGTATTTATACTAACTATAATAGCGTTAAATTACTTGGTACTTATTATTAATATATACGACTTCTTATAAATTATCGAGGTATTAAAAAAAAAAGGTAGTAGTAAAGTAATACTAGTCGATATTAGTAGTAGTAGTAGTTATAAGATTTAGTTTATTTATAAGAATACTAGCTTGCCGCTTATACGTTATATATTTTAAAATAAGGAGATTATTATTTTAAAAGTTGAAAATCGGGGACTCTGCTAGGACTAACGCTTATAGTAATTAACGTATATAAGGAAATATCTTAAGTACTTTAAATATAGGAGTAAGTAATAATAGTATAAAGTAATTAACGTTACTTATTTAAGAGTTTTATAACTTAAATTACTAAGTACCTTTATTCTAACCTTACTTATTTAGTTTTGGGTCTTAAATACAATTACTATAATTCTAGTTAATAGTTATATAAATTTTTTTTTTAATAAGTAAGTAAGTCTTAGTAAACTAAGAATTATATAAGCTACTTTACGTATATAGCGGCCCTACGCTTTATAGGGGTTAGCGAAAAGGGATTTATTTTATCTTTAATATACTTCTCTCTTTCTATACGGACGTTTAATATCTTAATACTAATATAGTTTAGCTTAGTACGGGAGTACTTAGCTTAGAAAAACCTAAAGTTAATAGGGGTGCTCTATTTATAGTCTAGAGTAAATATTAGCTTCGGTATTATTACTAATAGGGATTCTAAGTAAATTAGAAAGCCGGTTTTAGATTACCTAACCTCTATTATTAAAAATAGAGAGCGTACCTAAGTGTATAGGTCGGTTATTAAATAATACGTATTGTATTTAGCGTATATATTTATAAGCTAGGGTTTAATATATACTATATAAGTATTAAAAACGGCTTAGGTGTTTATATAAAAAGAGATTAGAGAGTTAAAAAAGGTAAAGGCCTTTTTGCGGACTCCTATAACCTCTATATAATACCGTTATACTAAAATCTTTTTAAATAGCTTTAATACCTCGCTTTATTTATTAAATATATCCCGTATTTAGTTCCCCTTTATATTTTATAAGCCGGATTTGCTAAGAAACCCGGTAAAAGAACTAGTAGATTTTAAAAAAACTCTTATTAAGTTAGTAAGTACGTATAGTAGTAATTATTCGCGTTTATAGAACTTTTAGTTAGTAGCTTAAAACTATTATTTTGGCTACTACTGTACTCCCCTTTTATGCTTTACTTAATAACTCTACCTCTAACCTATTTTAATTAAGAATAGTATTACTTAACTATTTTTTTAGTATATTTAGTTCGCTATTACTAATTAATATAAACGTAAATATATAAGCTTTTATTCTAAAGATGTTATATAAGTCTATTTTAAGTAGCCTAAGGAAAGAACCTTTTTTAGCCGCGCTAATCGTACTCGTAGTGTTAGTATTACTTATAAAAAAATCCTTTATTATACCCTTATTATCGTAGTTAAGTAGTACTAAATCCGTCTATTATTTATATTTTACTAAGTTACTAGGGGTTTTACTTATATTAGCGTCGTTTTACTAAATACCCAATATAATATTATTAAAAATAGCGGCGCCGTTATTATTAGCCTCGATTTTATATAAGGTATTTATATTTTTATTTACGACTTCCTTTACTATTGCGTCTTTATATTTTATAGTATTAGGCGTTCCCCGTATACTACTTTTAACTACCCCTACTTTAATTATATTACCGATCTTTACTATACTTTAATTAGGTTTAGACGTTAATCTTTTTTATTAACGGCGTGTAACTTATCGTTAGCGTTTAGTATTATATATCCCCTTAACAAGTTTTACTAGCTAGTTTAAATATACGTTAGTTTAAGCTGTTTATATAAATAGTAAAAGGCTTCTATGCTAAGATTTATAAAATAATTTATATTAAGAATACTTTAGTTATTTAGGACGTAAATAGCTCTATTTAATTAATTATAAGTTAGATTGAAGTAGATAATAGCTAAGAATACTTATACTCCCTCGCTTAGTTATACGGCTTTTTATTTTATACTTGCCCTATATTTCTAGACCTTCTCTTTAGCCTTTTTATTATATATAAAGACGACCTTATTTAACGATACGGGAGCTATAGTATTACGAGTTAAGTAATTTATAATCCGAATATAATCTAATATAGTTTACTACCCGAGAATAGCTATTAGAATGGGATTCTATTGCCCTTAAGTACGATAATACAGAATAGAGGCTATTATAGACTTTGTATTAAGCTTCGAAGTGAGCTAATTCGATATTTTATAATTCGTAAACCGTAACTATTTATTAATCCTAATTAATATCTATTCTTTTTTATATAGTTCGAGTAGCTACGAAGTAATATATCTTATTTACCCCTATAAAGCGACGAATTATTCTTAATTATCCGAATTTAATTAGTAGGCTTATATATGGACTTTAATTAAGAAAGTATTTAAGAGATATAATATGCTCTTAAAAATTTATATTAATAATTATAAAATCTAAAACCTACTACCGAGTAGAAAAATATTCTAGACGTTTTAAAAGTACTCTAACTAATAAAGATAACGATTTAATATTTTAACTTTGCTTAATAATACGTAGTAGCTAGACTATACTATATTAAAAAAGGCTAAACGTTAATAAGCCCGTAATTATATTTTATAGCCGTATCCGACTTTAGAATCTAGTTATAATAGATAAAGGAACTATTATAGTAGTTAATTTCTAATTTTTTTACTAATCTTCTTTAGTAAAGTTATAAGTAGCTATACGCAAACTTTAAAACTACTATGTTTAATAATATCTAGGGCGTTTAGTAGGGATAGTAAACTAGCTATACTTAGATTTATCTAACGTATAAAGCTAAAATTAACTTTTAGGAGTTTAAATTTAATAGCTAATTAATTTTAAATATTTAAAAATATTTGCGCAGTTACTAATAAACGACGCGGCACGATATAAAATCTTTATATATTATTTCCTTACTAATATATTCTTAATATAAATACTTTACCCTAATAACTAGTATATATACGAAATAATTTTATATCTAACCCTATATTTCTAAAAGCTAGTATGCCCTATTTACTAATAAACCTCGCGGATAGTAAGACGGTAAGAAAGAAAAAAAAAAAGATTTTCTAACTAACTTTATAGTATATACGGGACTAAAGATTAGCTAATAGCTCTTAGTATAATTAATTCTGCGACTAAGATAATTTAGAATTATTTATTTAATTTAGGAAGGAAGAGGTAGGTTAAGCTTAAGGTAAGTATAATAAGTACCGTTCATAAAAGTTTACTAGCTACGTTACTTAGAATAGTTAAAAGCTACCGAGTTTATAATAAAACGAGAATACAAAATGCTCCGACTAGAGAACAATACTATAAAATAGATCTTTTTATATTATCCTAAAATACTAACAACGTGTATATATAAGTTAGACTTCGAATAAGTCTATATAAATGATTTAAGATTAAATTATAATCGGTTTTATTATATATAAAACCTCGAGTACTAATAGCTATCGTAATATTAAGTAATTATATCTACTTATTAATATAATATATTAATACGAAGTACGGTTACTGCGGCCTTATACTACCCAGCTTAATACTACTAAATTTAATAAAAAAAGCTCTTAAGTCGGGGCAAAAAATAGCTTATTAAACTCTTAAAATATAAAATCGAGCTACGTATCGGCCGGCTATAAAAAGGAGTAAACCTCAATAGTTAACGCTCGCTATATTACCTCCAAAATAAGAGTTCTTAAAAACTAAGATCGATATATTAAATAAATAAAGTTATTACGAAATTAGCACTAATAAACTAAGTAGCTTAGCTTATTTTACAAAATAGTTAAGAATAATATAAAAAGATATTTAAATTTACAATACCTAAAATAAGAAGCGGTTTATAAAGTTACTCAGCTTAGATCGATTCCATTTAGTAATATTTTATTATATAAGCTCGTTATTATATAAGGTACATACCAGAAGTATTTAATATAAAAAACCTACTTATCTTACTTTATAATACTAAGTATTAGCTTTACGGGCTAGCTTTTA